GGGGGGGTCAAAAAAAAATAAGGCCCGGCCTTATTTTGTGAGAAACATGGTAGATGTTGGCAGATCTGTTTTTTTATTATCTTTTCCAGTATCTTCCCAGGTATTGATGTTAGGCTGATTGGTCTATAGCTTCCTGGTTCTGTTTTTTTCCTTTTTTGAAGATGGGAACCACATCAGCTCTTTTCCAGTCTAGTAGTTCTCCGGTGCTCCACAATATTTGAAAGATATGGTGCAGTGGTTCTGAGATGACCTCTGCCAGCTTCTTTAAAACTCTGTGTTGTAATCCATCAGGCCCTGGTGGTTTGTGTTTATCAAGATCAGACTGGTGTTCTCTTACTATTTTTTTGCTTATTTTAACTTTTATTTTTTTTAAAAAAAATTATTCTACAAAAAAACATTTATTTGACATACATTTAAAACAGACCAATCAATGTACATATACATATACATGTACATGTACATATACATATACATATACATATACATATACGTTGTGGCTCCGAGTCCTGAGCCTGCATTCTTGGAGGAGGAGGACTCAGAAGATGAGGAAGAGGAATTGGGAATGCCTTCCTCCTCAGGACCTTCCTCTTCGGCAATGCCTTCCTCCCTGATTATGCCTCAGGTTTCAGCAGATAACCGAGAGGGACAGCCTGAGGCTAATCAGGAGGAGGAGGGCATATCGGAGCAGCATCTTGACAGAGAATCAAGTAGACGAATGTTGGCTTGATGCTAGGCAGCGTCGCAGGAAGAAGTGTGAGCTGCAGCGTAGGAGGCGTGGACGAATCAGAGAGTGAGCTGAGTCATGGAGACACACCCCACAGGGGATAAAAGTGGGTGTGTTTTCTCTGGAAACTCTGTACGGGACAAAGTGTGAATTTTCTGTCGAGCTTCGGTGTATCTTGTTTCTTGAAAGCTTTCGTGATTAATGTTTCTGGTTATCTTGTCGGACTTGGCAGGCAGCATTTGTGATACTGCCAAGAACATTGCCTGCTTAAAGGAATTAACTCTGTAAATACTGAATCTTCTTGCCTGCCTGTATTTTGTCAGAGTTTGGACTTTTCATCTTCCTTGGAAAGGTGAGACATAACATTTTTGTCCCATACCAGACTCAAACCATCTTTTACCCAAGATGGACCAGCAGTAATAGCAGCAGCAGCAACAGCTGCAGAATGAAAACCAGGCTCTGCAACAGCAGGTGGCCCAATTAATAGCTCAAATTGCTCTGCTGCAGGCTCATGCTGCTCCTCCTGCCCCTCCCCGTCGGAAATGCCCAGTGGCTGTGCCGGATAAGTTTTCTGGGCAGCCTGAGATTTTCCCGGCTTTCATGGGACAGTGCCAGTTGTTTATGGCTATGAGGCCAGAGGATTTCCCAGATGACCGGGCTCGGGTGGGGTTTGTAATAAGCCGCCTTTCGGGCTCGGCTGCCAGATGGGCCACACCTTTGTTGCTCCAGAACAGCCCGTTATTAATGGATTACCAGGGGTTTTGGCAACATATGCGCCACATGTATGAGGACCCCATACGAGTGCAGACGGCCACCAGGCGTCTGAAGGAACTTCGCCAAGGGAAGCGCCCCCTGCAGGAATTTATTTCGGAATTTCAGCTTGTCTGTCTGGATTCCAATTGGAATGATGCAGCCTTAATGGACGCCTTCCAGGATGGCCTGTCAGATGAGCTGCAGGATGAGTTAGTTCGAGTGGAACCAGCTCCGACCCTCGATGCTCTGGTGGTGCAATGCTTGCGCATCGACGCCCGACTCCAACAGCGAAAGACCCGTCGCACCGTCCAGGAGCAGCCATCCACATCGGTACCGCAGCGTCCTGTGCAACCAGCGCCCCGGGTCACCCAACGTGTCATGGCAATGGCCGAGGAGCCAATGGAGTTGGGAGCAGTCAGACTTCGCCTGACCGCTCAGGAGCGAACGTGGAGATGCCAAGGAGGTTTGTGCTTGTATTGTGGGGGGGGGGGGCGGGGCATTTTGCTATTTCTTGTCCTATAAAGTGAAGGGGGGCACTCAAGCCTGTGCCTGAATCTTGGCCTGATCAGTCGGGAAACAAGGCAGGCCCGACCTGGGGGGAAACCCTCGGCCGGGCACGTATCAAACTCCCGCCTGAATTAGCGGAAGTTGACTCTGGGCCCCCTCGGCATCTGCTTTTGGACACTAGGGTTTTCTTGGCTCGCCAGTCAAAAGGGATTCCAGCGATTGCGCTGGTGGACTCGGGGGCCACAACTAACTTTATGGACCAGGCCTTTGCGGCCCATTTTGATGTCCCCTTGGTTCCGGTAGACCCTCCGATGAGGGTCGAGACTATTGATGGGCGGGAACTTCTTGCAGGACCCATTCAATTCGCTACCCAGCCTTTGCGCCTGGTCATTGGAGACCATGAGGAGGCGATCCGCTTTTATGTCACCACGGACCTCCATTTCCCATTAGTCCTCGGCATGGCTTGGCTTCGGATTCATGATCCTCAGGTGGCATGGTCGCGGAACGCCATTTCCTTTCCGAGTTTGCAGTGCGTGGACCACTTACGCCACACCTGTGCTGGCCAGGACATCACCACCTCTGCCGTCTCCATACCTCCTGAACTGACGGACTTCTCGGATGTGTTCAGTGAGAAGGAGGCGGACCGGTTACCCCCGCATCGGCCCTATGATTGCCCAGTGGACCTTCTGCCCAATGTACCACTGCCAAAGGGACATTTGTATTCCATGTCCGAGCCCAAGCTGGCCGCCCTACGTGACTTTCTGGACAAAAACTTGGCCCGAGGATTCATCCGGCCTTCGTCGTCCCCTCTCTCAGCCCCAGTTCTCTTTGTCAAGAAGAAGACGGGAGATTTACGCTTGTGCTGTGATTACTGCCGGTTAAACGCCATCACGGTGTGGAATAGCTACCCTTTGCCGCTTATTCGAGAGTTGTTGGAGAGGTTGGGGAAGGCTACTATCTTCACCAAGCTCGATCTTCGAGGGGCCTACAACGTGGTGCGGATGCGAGAGGGGGACGAATGGAAGACGGCATTTGGCACCCGATACGGCCATTTTGAGTACACGGTGATGCCGTTTGGGTTGACCAATGCCCCCGCGGTCTTCCAGCAACTGATGAATGATGTGTTTCGGGACATGTTAGATCGGTTCGTGGTGGTGTACTTGGACGATATTTTGATCTATTCCGGGTCCAGGGACAGCCACCTTCACCACGTTCGTCTGGTTTTGCAACGCCTTCGGGAACACCAACTTTATGCGAAGCTGGAGAAATGTCTCTTCTTACAGACTTCCATAGAGTTCCTTGGGCACATCATCTCTCCCGAAGGCATCGCCATGGACTTGCGTAAGGTGGAGGCCTTGTGTAGTTGGGAACCCCCTCGTCACGTGAAGGACGTTCAACGCCTATTGCGGTTTGCTAACTATTACCGGGCCTTCATCCCGGGTTTTGCCAAGCTGACAGGTCCAATAACCCAGCTCCTTCGAAAGAAGGTTCCGTTTCAGTGGGGGCCCCCGCAGCAACAGGCTTTTGAGGCCCTCAAGAAGGCCTTCATCGCAGAACCTGTCCTGAGGCATCCTGATCCGCTTCGTCCTTTTGTGGTGGAGACGGATGCGTCCAACGTGGCTATTGGGGCTGTGTTGTTGCAAGCCCCGGCGGATAGCGTCACTCTTTTTCCCTGCGCTTACTATTCCCGGAAACTCATTCCTTCCGAACGCAATTACACCATCTGGGAAAAAGAGTTGCTGGCTATCAAGGCTGCGTTTGAGACTTGGCGACATCATCTCGAGGGGGCCCAACACAAGGTGGAGGTCCGGACGGACCATCGGAATTTAGAACACTTGTCAATGGCACGAAAGTTGAACCAGCGGCAGATCCGGTGGTCATTGTTTTTTGCCCGGTTCAACTTTTCTGTGACCTATATCCTCAGTGGTCACAATCGGAGGGCGGATGCCCTGTCCCGCAAACCTGAGTATCTTTGCCCTGAGGACCCCATTCCTCCGCGGACGGTGCTGCCAGCAGAATCATTGGCCGTAGTCCAGGAACCGGTGGATTTTTTCTTTTTTTTTAAACAAATTTTATTAATTTTAAAGACAAACAAACCATCATTAACCATTAATACATGAACCTCTTTCCATTGTAAATTTTACAAGTCAAATAAAACATTATTTTATACAATATAATTCTATTTTAGACCATTTCCATATGAGCATACAAATATCTCTTATCCAATTTCTCTTTATTACTCTTTACTCTTATCCAATTTCACTATTATTATTTTTCTCTATATTTATCCAATTTATAATTATCATCTATTTCTCTCTGACTTGGTTACCATTATTCTCATTCTATATTCCTGCAAGGTTTTATTAATTCTCCCACATACATAAACACACAAAACACAAAAATATAAAAGATCTTTTAGGAAAGTAACTTGGCCCCAGAAACCTCTCTCTACATGGACTTCAATTATATTCATGCTCATCTTACATGCCATTACCTATTTTATTTACCATTCTATATCTTCTAAATTAGCTTCTCCACACATTTCACTCTTCTTAATTCTATCTTATTTAATTCATTTTAATTTAAGTCATTATATTTGTATCCTTTGTCCATTCTTTATTATCCATTTGTCTCATTCCCTATAGTAAAAAGAAAAAAGAGTTTCTCCTGAGATCACTAATCAGAGTATGATGCCTTTCTATCATCCCCCTAAATTAACATTTAAAATAACACCTAATACCCAATCTGATTCTGCTTGGTACATTCTATCTACTAATTTTTAAAAAAGAAAAATAATAAATCCAAAATGATTAAATACATTACTAAACATTTCAATATTTTAATCTCTTATTAACTCTTAAACCATTCTAATTTTCTATTTCTAATACAAATGCTACAGTACCATCTTATGTACCTTGCAGAATCTTTTTTTAAACAAATTATACATTACCCTTTGTCCCTAAAAAAAATTCCTCTTTTCCCATCTGGTTTCAAAGCTTTGTGGCTTTTCTCCACCTTTTCCCTTTCTTTCTTCTCCCACCAGGCCTTTCTACCCCCCC